CCTGTATCAGGTTCATTATGTTTTCTTTGTGGGTATATAGTTCCTGCTGCATAGTTATCTGTTCTTAAGTGTGTTGTGTTTAAGTTTCCATTTTACTTATTGCATGTATTTCCTCTTTTTCTGTTTATAGCCAATCCACCAACCCCTTTTATTTTGCCCAAGATCGTAAGTGGTTGTTTGCTAATAAAACAGCCTAGCTTGAGGAACCTGGTCCGGTTACATTTGCTAATTTTTATCCTTTTTTATTAAATTATGTAAGCTGGGATCCATGGGAGATCAGTGAGCAGGCTTACTGAATGGATCACCCAGGGTAAAAAAATAAATAAATAATCAATTCAGCCAGAGGGGGTCTATATTCTCATGACATTCACCCCCTTTGCTGATGCAGCTAGCAGTATGGATAGTTGCTCAAGCTTTTTTCATGAGTGGAGGCATAAGGAACCCAAGCAAAGAAGGCTCATTCCAAAATAGGAAGGACATGGGAGACGGCAGATGGAGTCATTCCAAGTGATACTAAATATCCGCATAAAGCTTTAAACAAAGCAATTTATTTTGGAAACAATGTCATAACGGGGAATCACAGTGGTGTTGTGGTTCTTTCCTTGCCTTACCTTGCCTTTCCTTGCCTCTGCGACCCAGGTTCGAGTCCCAGCTTGGTCTACAAATGCATTTGGTTTTCAGCCCCCTTCACTGTACCTGATTCTGTGGGTTTTACCTAGAACATTCCTCTGGGGTTTCCCTCCCAAGTTTCTTCAGGCTTACCAGCTATATTACCCAGGGCGCTTTTTAGGAATCATTGGTCTCATTGTCAGAAAAACCTACCGATAAAAATGAAGTTTGTATGATGCTTCCGTTAAGTCTGAGATTTCCAGGTGAGTCTAGCATCCATTAAACTACATGTACCAAGATATTGGAATTAGGCCACAGTAGAAAGGGTAGGGCCTCTTATGAGGAGATTTTAAACTAAAGGTTTCCCTTTTAAACATGTAGGCTTACCTGATGACCCTGTGCTTTCACGATCTACATGTACATAGGGAACAGGATTGCAGGTGACACTGACATCTGTATCATGGGTGCAGTCTTGAGAGATTTCAAACGAACTACATCTTCTCAGTCCCTCTTCATCTCCTTTACACCAATTCTTACGGAATTGTACAATTTTAGTCTCTTCAGCAGCTCTCCCTCGAAGTGGCATCACACCTAGAAAGCAAACACCTTCACTATCACCTCTGATAACATTTTTGTTCACAAAGATGGACGGCATTCATTGAGATTAAAGGAGTGCTTTCTAAGAACAAGGGATCTAGTATCCAAGCCACAAATCAGGGGTTTGCAGGTAAGGGGTGGAACCTTGGACAGCTCCTTCCCAAACCATTTCTGTTTGTTTTACTCTACATTTTCCATTTGTTTCACTATAGATGTCTACTTGCATGTGTATTCCACTTCACCCACTATGCCAACCTGTTGTCCAGTAACTCTCTATCATGCTTCCCATCTGTAGTTCCCATCTTCCTCTTTTCAATAGCGATTCCTTGCCTCCAAGTCCTTTCAAAGTCCCTTTTCATTAACTTTTCCACCTTCCAATTCATTTCCCCCCAGTCCCCCAATGACCACCCTAATCTGTCACCCAGCTAACCCAACCGTTCCTCCTACATACCTGTTGATACAGCACCATCAAAGCCAAAATCACGACAAAGTAAGGTTGCTGTCACCATATCCAAGCCGGACTGGACACACAGTGTAACCCATTCAGAACCAATGTCAGGATCATAGTAGGAAATTTCGACACGACCAGATGCCAAACCGTCACCGTCAGTAAGTCGTAATCTGACTCCATCTACAAGAGGTAAAAAAAGACCATCATCTAATTATCGTCAATGAAAATAAAAAGATGCACATCACAACTTGTTCACATAGCATACAGAAAGTGTTAAATAGCTAGTGCTGCAGTCGGACCACCGAACCAAACCAAAAACCATCAAACACTTTCAAACTGAACCGAACCAAACTGGTCGGTTCAGATGTTTGGCTTTTTGTATAGCATGGATTGATAGCATAGGGAATGCACGCAAGAAAACGTGATAAAAAAGCAAACACAACAAAAATGGATAATGAGTTAGACTGGGGCTCGGCATATGTGTGTACACATGTATTGTAAATGTACATGCACAGTAAACTTACGATGGCCCTGCATCACAGGATGGTTGTAATATTCAAATGGTGAGATCAACCGCAAAAATACAATGCATGGCATTTCCGCAATCCGCTGCACAACAATTCTAAATTCTCACTACACCTAATTGTGCTAATGTATGTGGTTATTAAGATTTAGCATATACATGCATGTTTGCCAATCTCTGATAGCCACACCCTTACGTTCCATATTAGACCAATGATGTCATAAATGGCCGCATGTAGAACAAATTTTGATTTGATACTGATCACAGTCAGACTCATGTTCGATAAAAGGCCAGAGGGAAAACTGATTTTGCCAGGTGGGTGGGTGCAGCGCTCCAGCGCGCAACAAGGTTTGGTTCACAGGGTGGCCCGACTTGCCTTTCATTTCATCATATTTGATCAAAGTTGTAATGTGAATACATTGTAATGGAAGTTGGCCAGATCTCTAATAACAAAATGCCATTATATCTGTTTGAAAAAGACTGATGGAAAATTGCTCCTTCGGCCACATGGTCGCCGTCCTGGGAAAGAATGATGACTTGATACATGTACCAAGGTTCATCTTCAAATACATCGAAAGCTTTATAGTTTGGTAGTTGCAATCTGTTTCGTCAAAAACAACCAAAACATAATTCACTTGAAATTTAATTTGACCTTGTATCCTGTAAAGGACGAAACTTCCATTTCAGCATGCTGTTTTTTCTGTTTTCACATATCCTAAGATCATTTTGTTAAATCAAGCATAGTCCAAACACAACCGCTTTTGGTCGGCACGGTCAGAAACTGTCACACCTCCAGCGGTAACTTTCTATGGAATTTTTACCTCCTTAACACACTTTGGGGAAACAGCTTAGAAAAAATTATTTTCAGATCAAAGTTGCTCGTGGATAGGGATGGAAAGGAGATTCATTGCTTGTATTAACATATTTTATACACAGAAGTACTACATACGTACGGCACCTTCACAGCGAACTCTTCAATGTCTCAATGTGCATTGTACATGTACATGGACGTACATGTGTGTACCAAAAAATTAATATGTCTGAACCCGAACCAAACCAAAGTTCGGCAAAAGAATTCTAAACTTTGTCCGAACTGAACCCTAACTGAACCTTGGCACCTACTTGCAGCACTATAAATACAAGTAGCTCTGACAAATGCTACTGCTTGCTGTTACTTGTTGACTGTTATAGCACGTACTAAGTAGATCTGACATGTGACTCACAATTTCACTAAAACTTCAATTAAATTTTAACAACTTCATTACATGTTAGTTTACTGTTTTATATCTCCTTGGATCTGCTTCAAGTCTTTTAGCGTTGGACCAATTTCACTCTGTACAGCTGTGGTCAAAGTAAAGACCTCATAATCATTTAAATAACTTTGAAATATCTGATTGGCTTTATTTGTGTCACAATGAGAAAATAAAAATGCTCAATCCTTGCGGATACATTTCCAGATAATGCCAAGGGGTTAAGGAACACAGAGTAAAATATGAGATGTGATTTTACTTTTTGTTTTTCATCCTTGGTCTTAATATCAATATACCTGAGACAAAATCTTCGCTTGAAGAGTAGTTCCGACAAAAAATGGCAGCCTTGTCGTAATATCCACAGGTTGTGTAGTACGTATGCATGTACTTTTCTTCAATGTAGCATAGATAATCGTCACACAGCACTTCACTGCTGAGAGAATCTTCTGTGATTTTACTTAGAAACAAAAAGGACCCAATCATGTGGAATCGTGGAAGGAAAATGAAATCCTTACCAAATTTAGTCCTGGAAATACCAGGTTTCCATAAGCACTGCCCCCACCCCAATCAATGAGATCGCAACGTCAAGTTTCCTTTCTTGTTCATGTACACATTCGTACGTATGCCTACAGAGGTGCCTAACAACCTCTGGGTAAAGAGCGTCAAGTCATGCGCAGACCATCTTGAGCAGATGATAGGGATCTGACGTGTGAAGGCAGGAAGAAGTATTCAAAATAAACTTGAATGCAATTAGTCGATGCCCAAGGCACATGCCAAACTACAGTGGCTACAACTTACCTGTACTCCTCGGAGAATCGTAGGGTGGGTAGTAGCTGTCCATATTCATAACCCAGTGATTCACAGGCTCTGTTAATAAACCGGTAACCGTACCACACACCTGACCTTGATATACAGATGTTCCACCAGTTACCATTGTAGTAGGTTTGAACCAGACCTTCATAAGGCTTAGCTGATCCAACAAGGCGAACAACTTGTCCTGTTTGAATGGCATCCAAATTGAGCAGGTTTATGAAAATGTAATTATCTCTCAAAGCAGAGAAGCAATTTAGTTTTCAACTTGAACATGAAAAGATATGCTTGAACTGGATTTTGTTGGGGATAATTCAGTGAAATTGAGGGGCATTTGTGGGTACTCCCAATAAATCAGTTACCACCGTAGCCACGTCGATACAACACATGTACTGTAGTCCAACGATAGGGGAACCAGTATGTGTGAGTAGAGCATGCCTGTGTACCACGTGGCACAGGACACTACAAACTACATGTGTGTGTCTGGCAGTAAGCCAAAAGTAATCAAAGGTGTTTCATGACGGAATCCCTGCCATCACAGCGCACCAAATAGAAGATTGATCACAAGCCTCACGGAGACCACCTTCATGGAACAATCTAGAAAACTCTATCATATTCATCAGGGTTAAAGGTCATTCCTATTCATGTAGATATTTATAAAAGAGGTCAAATTTACTGATTCAAATGGATTGAGTATTAACATTTTTTACACAAACTATAGTTTCTGAGTGCTATGATATGTTTCCAGCTAGCACATCAACAAGTACAAAACTTAACCACAGGTGCAACAAATTTAAGGACCCTGACACCTCTGGTGTCAAAAACAGAATGTCCCACATCAAAACACTGGACGTTTTACGGCCGCTGAAAACTAACAACATTACCTGGGTAAGGGGAGGGAGATATGCTACACTTGACTCTAACCAGTCCACCATTACACTGACTTCTCTTGATGATCACATGACTACACTCCAGAAGATGCTTCTCTAAGCCAATGCACTCCACTGATCCCAAGACGCTCCAATCATCACCGGTGCCCATGTAGTCGGTTCCACTTGTCTCAATGGCATAATGAAAGCCCAGCTCCTGACAGACTACGTTGGCTGCTTGGATATCCCAGGATTCATCACTGCAGATGGACCAATCCTGATCGATGTACAGATAAGGAAAGGGTTGAAGCTGAACAACACCTGTACTTGTTGAGTTGTCCTCTACGACCTCCAGCAACCTCAAAGGGTATGGCTGTTGAACGTCCCCAGTTAAAACTATGGGTAAAAATTGGCATCATGGATTACAATGTAAGTGTAACACCACCTGGCACACTCAATCATTCACAAAATGATTATACTTTCAACTGTATGAATGTGAAAGATCATTACCTGAAAGATTGTTGTAAATGACATGATTGGTAACCCACCAATCTCATGATATGGTCTCATTCAAGCACTGTATGATCATACAACCTTGTATTATTATACAGTAGCGAGATGTCGGCTTAAAGATCAAGATGGTGTACTGCAAATAGTTAATCATAATCCTACAATGACAATGACCATGTCACTGACGTCATTGAGACTCACCTTGCTTTGGCACACAGATCACATGTCCAGCAGCTTTCACATGGTCACTGTCACAGCCATATGTTTGTGACAACTCAAAAGAACAATCAATCAGCCTGGATTCCGTTCCTTCACACAACAACTCCCTGCTTATTACATAAGCCCTTGAATAGTCGCCATGGAAACTTGTCACTGTCAGTGCCTTGGGGAATCCTAGCTGCCGACAAACCACAGACCCTGCCCGTTCATTCCACTGGTCCCGGGACAGGCAAAGGATGCCCCACTTGTTGCCATCGTAAACCTCTACAAGACCACTGTTATCATGGAAACCACCAGTGAGCCGCAGAGAGAATGCTTAAAGGGCAAAGTAAACGATGACAAGAGTTACATTCCTGGGAATGTCTTGCCTGAGTTTGATTCTTTTTTCAATGTAACTGACAGAAGTATTTCTAACTCAACAGATACATGTACACAGCTGTTGCAATTTCCCATGGTCTGAACTCTAGAAAACTAAAACTCTATTCACTTGCCAGTATTGTGACAAAATGTGACTTTTTGTTCACTTTTTTGCACAAAGACTTTAATGGTGCATTATTTGCTTATACTTCTTTGGTTGCTCCATTAAATCAGATTAAAGACCCACTGCTCAAGTTTTTGTTTACTGTTGTAGCGTTTTCTGATCAATAACTTTAATTATCCGTGTATATTAATTTTCGTCAACTAGCATTCCAGAGTTATCAATGTATTAATGTTAAGAATATTGTTATTCCCAGTATTAGTCTTAATTGCCAGTTCTTACACATCACTTATTCCTTTTTCCTTCAGGATGTACACAATATTGTTTCTGCCCATCGAGCCTGTGACCTAGGCTTGCTTAGCCCACATGCATATACCCAAGTTGCACTGTCATTTAGCAATAAAAGTTTCTCAGCGTTATGCATGTTTATAGGATCATTGTTCTCAAATATTACTCACTCGTCATCATTCCGGGAATCAAACCAAGATGCATGCAAATAAATTTCCTTTCTTAAGTTTTCTCACTTCAACTACACGTTTCTAAATGCATACAAGCCCTGCCTCATGGCTAGTTTGACTCGACTCGACTTACTACACTAGGCAAGATAGACACAAACAGAAGAGAATTCAGTAGTTAAATCCAAGATATTCCTTTAATTAATGGTCTTTTGAGCTGTAACATTCATGGTATAATTCAAGAAGTACTGCAGGTCTTGAGCAGTCAATCACAACCTTCTCAGTCCTTGCTCAGTGAACAAGGTCATGGTAAAACACATTGCCAAGATGTGTGTTCCAACCAAAGATCGTATAGCGCCGAAGGCGCAAGATGGATAACTCTGCCTAAAAGATGTAATTACCATAGGCGCCATTTGAGCAAGTGATACGCCTGTGCAGTTTACGGTAATGCTTAGGCGTGGGCTCACCAGGTGCACGTGCCAACCGCAGCGCCTGCGCATTAATGTGCATTGCGCCTGCGCATCGCTTGCTCAAATGGCACCCATGCAATTACAATGTTTTATGTGTATTCACGGTGAAGTTCGCCATCTTGCTATACGATCTTTTGTTCCAACTACCTTCACTACAATAGACAATGTGTCCCCATTAACACTGTCACGGATCCCAGATGATTCTTCCCCTATACCTAGAGTCCCTTTTGTTACATGACATTTCTTTTACTATTAAACTGAAATTCCTTTTGTTTTTTGACTGAGCTGTCTTAGAAGAATTTATTTAAATTCTGTTTATTTGCTGCGTTAACATCCATTACGGAATTTCTGAGTTTATGTCTCAACTGGTGCTGGAGCCTCTTTGACTCTGTGACCTCTGTGACCTTATCTGACCTCACAGGTACCCATGTTACACCTCAATGCAGAGAATGCAGGCAAGGATTGAGGCGACTTGCCTAAGGTCACAACATCACGTTGGAAACAAAGCCTAACACAAAGTGAGAACTTCAACCTGAATACATCACAGAATGTACCCACCTGGATTGAGTTGACAGTGTACAGCTGCTTTTACTCTTGGGAAGTAAGTGTAGTCACCACATTCAGAGCGTTGTCCTGTCGTCCGTGAACAATCCATCAGTCTTGTCTCGCTGCCCGTACAAGACAAGTCAAAGACCCAAAATGCTACATATCTCTCAGGTAATGTGCCATCAAAGTTTGTAGCTGTCAGTGCTGATGGGTAGCCTAATTGACGGCAGATAACTGAAGCGACCTGCAGGTTCCACTCATTGCTCTCCATGCACAGCAATCCCCATTCCCCATCATCAAACATCTGTACGAGGCCACTATTGTCATAACGCCCACGGGTCAGTCGAAGGGAAAATGCTACAGAAGCACACGAACAGCGAGAAGAAATGATACATGTAGTTTTTAAAAAAAAGAAACAATCCAATCTGCCAATAATTAAACTTGCGTATAGCATTAGGAATCCATGTCCACTACAGGAATTTAAAATTATAAGGGAATTTTATAAAAATGGAGCCAAGTCTTGTAAATTGCAAAATATTTTCCTATAATTGATACAAAAAGGTACAGAATGAAAATTTCTCATGAAATCAGAGATAAAACACATTCAAGTTTCCTTCACCAGATGCTCATTTACAAAATGACTGAAGAAACCTCAAAAGAAAAATCACACCCTTGAAATTTACTTTAATATTTTCAAGGATTCACAAATCAAAGATCTGACAAATTTCCCCTCCCCTAATCTGATATATCTGATCAGAGAAAAGCTAAAATGTTTCATGCATGCAATGTTTCGGGTACCTCAGGTATCTGGCCATTAAAAAATGGAACAAACTTGATTACTAATTACATTGAGACTGAAATGATACAGAAGTGAATACTCACAAGTCGTCTTTTGGATACGATTTTACATTAAAATAGAGGTTGTCCCACATGCCCCCATCAAATATTGTACAGTCCCCTCCCCCTTTCCTGTACCCCTTTTCAACATGCAGGGGCCGAACGTGTGACAGTTCTGCAGCCCAATTCCCCCTGATCAGTGTAACTGACAAAAAACATATCACTGACTTCTAACTAATTTGCTAATTGTGTTTGGCAGGAGATTTACATGACTTCTTCACTCTTGGAAATCAAACAATATGTTCCACACTTATCATTTAAATCATGTCAAATATCATGACAACTGACACAAAAAGAATTGGACCCCAAATTTATAGATTGATCCATATATCGATCCATATACATGTATCGGTGTCTGTGGATGCCACGTTACCCCGTCCATGCATTTTTCTAATTGATAAGTTCCTGCATTCAAGTTGGATATTGGATTGCCTGCGATTACCGACCATGCCACCCATTCTGTCACACTAATGTTAAATGATCAACTTGCCACATATTGTAACATGGAGGAATTCCTCCATGATTTAACGTACAAAAAAATCTTGGGGTCAGGTAGCTAACCCTGCTGCAGTGCTTGTTTTCCATACCTTTGTTCTCATGTAACTTCTTTGAAAGACCCAGGTCCTTAAGAAAATCAATTAGGGTGCATGGTTGGTTGTAATCTCACAAGTGCACAGGACACAATGTAAGAGCAATGGCCCATTTTACGATGTCTAATAATGATGTGAGCTTACGTGCTGGGGCAGTGGGTACGGCTAGCACACAGAATACATTCAGACAGATGCAGATAGACAGTCGCAACCATTCCTCACTCATTGTCGCCATATTGTGAGTTGATCACTGAAGGCCAATCAAGTAGAACCAAATTAAGGCTGGCTTCAGACTCACTGGTCAAGAATTATCATTTTAACTAAATACTGGTACGTGAATTTCACAACGCCCCCTTCCATCCTGTGTTCTCTTTCTCTCTTACTTTAAATTTCTATAAACGTACTGAAAAACCAAAGATTTCTCATTCTGACCAGTTGAAAATCATACATGTACCAACGATACATGTAAATACGATATCAAATCTACGTAATTATAAGGTCCACATACAGGTACTGGTCTTTGTAGTTTTGTTCACAAGTGCAAATTCTCACTTCTACAAGAACTCATGTTTTAATGGCATGTGGTATTGGGAGGGGTGTACTCAATGAGCTACCTTTACATGTAGGTAGACTTCAAACTCACACCAGATAACTTAACACAAATATTAGCTTTTGGAAATAACTACCGGTATTACACAAACGATTAGCAACTGTCTAAATGTCCTCGCAACATGAACAAGACCAACGTTGAATCCAAAAGGAAATTATGCTGTATACCCTGCAGGGTCACTTCCGTTTTGAAGGAGTTGGCAAAACGCAAACTTCCTAGGGCCAGAGGAAAAATACATTTCCCCCAGTAAAAATGGGAGGTGGGTAGGAAAGAGAACGTTATTTCGGAAAATAACACTGATCCAATGATATACATGTAATTAAAAGACAATGTAATGTAATGTAAATTCATTTTGGCCAAACAAAAAAAATACCCGTGTTTCCAGTTACCAGACCCAACCTAAAAAATCACGCAGAACCTAGGACCCTATATCTTTTTATTTAACAAATCAATAAAATAAAAAATCTGACGGTGCCTTGCCCCAAGTCTAATTTTGTGTACATCATCCTGTATATTGTATCGTTTTATATTTTCGCATGAGATACACGGCTCTTGTGTGTTTGTATTTCAACAACCAGCTGCTTTACTACTCAATTACAGTGCTGATATGTAATAGTGATACATATGTGCACATGTACAGTATTAATCTGACACTAGTACCTGTTACAAATATACGCCCCCCCCAAAAAAAACAAGATCATCATCCAACCCCGGTTTTTGAGCTATAACAATTTAGAGTAAAAAAAAATTTACCCAACCCGCACCCTAATTTAAATTTTTCAGTGTAATGGGAAATATAACTAATTTGTTGTTTGGCCTTATAATCACAAGCAAAAGCAGTGAGTTTTGTGCAAGCATAGATAAAGCATGGTGCAAGTTGGGCGAAAATTTGTCCAGACACACCGGAGTGGGGAAAACACGTACCAACTGAAGGCAACATATTTTCCTCCAAAGAGTTTTTCGCAAATACTTGTAACAACTTGGGGATAGTTAGCAGCGTAAGTAGTGAACATAGGCCTACTGGTGCAATTTCAGCTCATAAAATCTAGCGGATACCATGGATACGGGATAGTATCAATCGGGACAGGGCCTATGGAATGCAAAATGTACCAAAATATGATGTTACTCTGTGAAAGTAGTTTGATCATGTCCTCAATCTATTATGTGATATTGTCAAACCATTATGTGAAGTTGACAATCCATTATGTAAAGTTCTCAAAAGTTATGTGAAGTTCTCAATGCCCCCACGCGGAGCTTTCCCTGTAAATAGCCTGTGTTGAATTATGTGAAGTAGTGAATCCATTATGTGAAGAAGTGAATCCATAAATGTCAGTGAATTACATGGTGTAGTCAAAGCATTATGACATCATTTCACATGTGGAGCTATCCCTGTGTATGGGTTGTGGTAGTTTTCTGGTTCTGTGGGCAAAGTCAAAACGTAGACATGCAGCACACAAGCAGCATGGAGCCCAAGTTAAAGATTTTGGAGTGGCACATCTGTTGTCAGAATTTTAATGGAAAACGTCAGTAAACATTTTGCACCTTGATGTTAGACGAATTTCAAAGTATAAATATTTTATACAAGCAAAATCTATGATTGTCCTGCATCTATAGCCGTGTTGAGGAGATAATATCAGAGAGGGGTTGCAGAGACGGGGTGCTCAATAGTTCCAATATTTCGGGGACTGCAGTCAAATTTTAAAATACTGATTTTCAATTTTAATTTCATTTATTTCAACCAAATCCTCTCAATAAATCATACATTTTTCTCATATTAACCGTTGCGTATGTATTTACTCCAAGAGAAGTTAGTGTTTTTAGCCAGTTATTTAACAGTCAACATGTTTCAGTGATGACCTCAGGTTTACAAAATAATGTTTAAGGAACAACCAAAATCAAGGACAAGAAACCATCAGGTTGATTGAGGGTCGTTACAAGTATTCATGTCGCCTCTACATTACGGTGTTAAATTGAATGGACTGCTTTTCAAGACTTGTTTCAAAGGGGCATTTTCTCTTTAAAAGAAAATAGCAAGGAAAACTGTCTGTGCGAGCAAAGTTTAAAGAATAATCAATTGACTTTATTTTTAAAAGGTTTCAGGATTATTCCTAAAAAGTTGCTGTTGTAAATAAGATTTGTCATCAGCGTCAACAAGGCTACTTTTATACTTTCAAAAGCAGTAAAGCACCTGCAGCTTCATGAACGAGGGCTCTGCTCACTGATGTACTCTAGGTTTTTGCAACCAGCATGGAGAGAGAATTCACTGGGGGTGATACCCATGTACATGTATGTGCATATTGAGCTTCCTGGAATTAAAGTGTAGGCTGTGTCAAGTTTTCATAGTTTTCAGTGTTGTGTGACAATCTTCTGCATGGCCACACTTGCCAACACCGTTGAACACATAACTTGCCCGCAGGCCCAATAGGTTTCCCAGTGCAGAGAGCCGGAGTTTCAAAACTTGCATCTGACGTTTGACGTTGCCTGCCCAGCGAGCCATCTCTTATGTTCCTGTGCCATGTTTGTGGACCAAGATATTCATTTTCACAGTCTCATTTTTTGTTTTTAACTGAAGGAGGGTCTGTTTTGACGCTGAATGTCTTACTTGTGGATATTACTGTAATGGTAAAGCAGAAGAAATAAATGATAAACATGACTACCACGCACCATGCTTCTGCACAGCTCTGATTGTGTACATGTGAGCTTTTTCCTTATGATTGCATCATCATAAGATGGTCTCATTGGTAGTGATCCTATCATTAGTTCAGTTTTTGTGAAGCTAAAGCTCGTCCTGCCAGTGTTTTACATGGCCACATAATGGATTGACAACATTAAATAATGGACTGACAACATCACATCATGGATTGACAACATTACATAATGGATTGACAACATCCCATAATGGTTCACAACATCACATAATGGATTCACAACATTACATAATGGATTGAGAACTTCACATCATGGATTGACAACATTACATAATGGATTGACAACATCACATCACATAATGGATTCACAACATTACATAATGGATTGACAACATCACATAATGGATTCACAACATCACATAATGGATTCACAACATCACATAATGGATTCACAACATCACATAATGGATTGACAACATTACACAGTGGATTGCCAACTTCACATAATGGATTGACAACATCACATAATGGATTGACAACACATAATGGATTGAGAACTTCACATAATGGATTGAAAACTTCACATAATGGATTGATAACATTACATAATGGTTGACAAGATTACATAACGGATTGACAACACCACATAATGGATTGACAACTTCACAACAATGGTTTGACAACATCACATGATACTAATAGATTGAGGACGCAATCAAACTACTTTTACAAAGTGGCATCATATTTTGGTACATTTGGCGTTCCATAAGGGCCCACACCCAGTATGTCGACGATAGAGTAAACGTCGGGCCTAATAGCAATACAGGTTACGTGTGAGCATGGTCTGAGCTAGACCCGTAATCGGTTCTAGTGTCTGCCATGGCATGGTCTGAGCGTGCCTATGAAAACCAACCACTGTAGAGTCGGGCGGCGATGCCTCGTTGGCCATTTGTACCTCCATGCATGGTCAGACTGTCCATGGAGGCAGGAAAACACATTGTCCTTCCTCCATAGACTGTCCATACAGCAAGTGGGCTCAGACAACGATAATGATCTCGAGATAACGGAAAATATACATACAGATTGAGAGAACAAATCATCTTTAGTGACTTTACTCGAAGAAATGCTCCATTTTGGTGAGATGTTTTCGATGAACAACGAGGGCGGGGCCCAGTGCACGGGTCCCTTCTTTCCTCCGCTGCTCTTTTCGTATGGGGGAGCGCGAACCAGTGTAGGCCTGTAGCGCAGCTTAACTTGTATGAAACAGAATTCAGTCAAAAAGATCGGAACATGCTTTCCGAGAAAAAAAAAATCGATTTTTTTTTTAATGTAATGTTTTTTAAAAAGATAGTACACTGATTCTTTGAATTCATTTCCCAAAACCGAATGAAATCTTTCGTACCTAATATATCTTTTTGGATGGAATTTCACTGACCTAACGTTTTTAAGATTCGAATGAATCTTTTTTGATCCAACATGTTTTTAAGATTGGAATAAAATATTGTAGACCTGGCATGTTTTTAAGATGCGAATAAAAAATTTTGGACCTAATATGTTTTTAAGATTCGAGTAAATTTTTTCAGACCTTTCAGGGGAAAATGCATTCGAAACGTTATGTCTGTCAAATTTCATTCGAATCTCAAAACACGTTAGGTCTGAAAAAATTCACTCGAATCTTAAAAACGTTAGGTCTGTCAAATTTCATCCCCAAAAGATATATTACAAAAGATTTCATTCCGTTTTGGAAAATGAATTCAAAGATTCAAAGTACGGTCTGTTTTAAAAACATTAGATTAAAAAAATTCAATTTTTACAAAAGCATTACATTTCTCGGGAAAAAAGGTTCTGATCTTTTTGACTCTAATTCTGCTTCGTAAACTTGCACATGCAAAAAGTTAACGCCACACGTCGGATTTCTTTCAGTGGGACGTGGCGGGTCGGGTCGGAGGTAATGAGGGCCCGCGCGACACCACGGGTCATGGGAGCTCGACGGGGCAATGGTCCCAGATAAAAAAAGAAAAGTAAATAAGGAAAAACGGGGGATCAACAGAAATGAAAAAAAATACAGATGAAAGGGGGCGAAAATCACTAATTTATATCTCGGTACTATACCATTCTGTTAGTAGTAGCCAAAACAGTGGTCAGTGTATGGAGGACGAAAAGTGACCATCTGCTTTTTCTGCTGTGAGAACAGTAGAAAAGCAGATTTTACGTCTTTGTAACATGTAATTTTCGACTTTTCCGCCATCTCAAATTAAAAGCAGAATGAACACTTGATTGTAATGCATTTTTCAATTTTTCTGCTGCAACGAAAGCAGTTTTATTTTTCCTTGCTGGCGGCCGAAAAGCGGCATTTCTGTCCTCAATGGCCCGCGAATGGGGTCATGAACGTTTAGGTTACGACTATTTCCGTTCTGGGGAGTAAAGACGTAGAAACCAATAATTAACCATGCTTTCTGGGGACCAATACCATACCGTACGGCAGTAGTATACAGTGTCTATGTGGGGCCGAGAAAACGGCATCTCAAAGGAAATACAGTTTTACGTCTATCATCCAATAGACATATGCTTGGAAAACATTAGAATCTTTCATTACAAAAGACAGGGTGGACCGTAATTATTGGTAAATTTATACGCCTTCAATCCCCTATAGGAAAGGAAATGGTCATAAATTGAGCTTCACAACCCTTGCACGGCCCCTTGAAAGCAGAAAAACAGATGGCCACTTTTCGGCCGCCTATGTAAAATCTGCCTCTCCGGTATGATAAAAAAAGGCAAGGCAGAAAAGTAGAATTCACGGTTGTTGTCAAAACGTCTGATTCTCATTTCTGCCTGTTCGGTGGGCGAAAAGCAGATGGCCACTTTTCGTCCTCCATAAGTATATACCACCTTTGCCGCAAACTGAGTGCTGTTGCTGGTCATAACCAAGAACTGGTTCGGTTGTAATTATTCAAAGATTATCTTTGGGGATATTAACTTGGGTAAGAATTAACCGTGATTATGTAGTGCTCAGACCCGCAAAGCGATTAACCAAAGAGAAACAACGTTACCGAACCAATTCTTGGTTTTGACCGCCAAAACAAGTCCCAGACACGCTGTTTTGTTTTTTGGGGGGTGGGTCCTCAATCCAGCAGCATAACTCTATATTGGGAGGGATCCCTCCACCAGATCTGTTCGGATAATGCACCCCCCGCGCAGAAAGTGAAGAAAGTGTGAACTGTGACTGAACCATAGAGTCCCCATCCCCCTGTAAAATATACCCCGTTCCGCCACTTATCGTTAGCACTAGCCATTGAGGCCCGTTTTGCAGTATCAAACTTCAACTATAATTACAAAATCCCAACTTCACTGGACAGCAAAAGAAACTTGCCACTCTCCACCAAGCAAAAATGACCCATGAATGGACAACATTTTAAACAACCAATGACAAAGTGAACACCTGTTTTGTCAAAATGATGTGCATGAGTGGTTTCTGTATAGGGATGCCATGATCCTTAATGACTATGGATACACATTATTAAAAAATAATGATTGTGACATTTTTTATTTCGTCCTGTGACATTGACTTCTGCGTAAAACTCAAGGCTCATTCTGTGACTATTGATTCAGTAACCAAGTTGCTGTGCATGTCAAATTCTTTGTTATACAGATAATCACTTGCTTTTGGGCATGTGATTAGTAAGGGGTATTGCAGCATACCTGGGTACAAAAATTGTTTATTTCTATGGAGTGAATATTTATGTGTGGCCTTTGACAGAAGTGGCAAGTTTCTTTTGCTGTCCAGTGTATATCCCAACTGTTCAGCAAGGGACATTATTCGTGATCTCCTTGCATAATGCAGTTGACGGCTGAGTCTTCACATGCCATGTTCTCTGTAATTTAGTACATGTAGTCTAAAACCCAGAGTATGAAGAATCTAATAGGTTCATTGTGAACCTGTGTAACTCCTCAGTTTCCGTGCTCTTTTGTGTAATGTACACCCTATAATTGGTTTCTGTACCATGGACAGTGGCGTAACCAGGGATAAATTTCCGGGGTGGGGGGCCCACACATTTCTTTCAAGGGACACCACAAGAAAATAAGCTGCATCATTGCTGATGAAGCATTAGTGATTGGTGAGACTATGACTGGTGTAATATTCCAATAATGGGAGGGGGCTCTATTTCCTTTTCAATTTTAGTTTATGATCTAATTTCCATCGACATTTCTTTCAAGGGACACCACAAGAAAATAAGCTGCATCATTGCTGATGAAGCACTAGTGATTGGTGAGACTATGACAGGTGTAATATTTCAATAGTGGGAGGGGGCTCTATTTCCTTTTCAATTTTAGTTAGTGATCTAATTTCCATCGGGAAATTTGTTACCACACACCGGATGGTTATAACATAGCATATTTTAGCTACTGAGTGGAGCTTTCCTTTAACCAGATGCATCATATAAAAGAAATCTCTTGGAACCATTAAGTGAGTAGGCCCTAGTGCATGGCTTTCCACATTGACAATCTCTGCTGAAGTAATTACCCCTGTAGATCTGCCTTATTCATAAATCTACTGATAATCTCTGCCGCGGTGTATCCAACTTTTGGTGTTGGGGGGGGCAAAATTCCAAAGGGAATGTTGCTTTGACCTATTTCAACATGATGTTGGGAAGCAACAAAATCAAAAGCCTTACTAACTGTCCAGTGGAACACAGAGTTTCGGTTTAATTACTGTTCAGAGCCACATGCGATAGAAGTATCTTGATATCATTTCCCAAGTATCACAGTACTTGTGGCTGCACTCAGCTGCCATATGCATGTTACCACTACAGAATAGATTATCTTTAATTTCTACAACTTGAATAGCCTTTGTCTCCCGGTCACGTTAGCAAAGGAAATCGACGAGAATTTTTCTTATGCATTCAATCATGGACGAAGGACACAAACTGTGTGGACGTGAGGCCAGATGCTGTATGTTTTGAAGAAGTAAACGTTAATTTAGGCCATGGCACATACTTGCTATGTGACTTGGCAGTAATTTAATACGGTACATCTAAGTGTTGTGTTTGTACATTGGAAGAATTGGGAGCATCGAGAGCATGGAGAACTTCTGGCAGAACGTTTCTGAGGCATATTTATATTACACACATCACAATGGTAAGCTCAGCAAAGCATTACATCATTATCCCGAAATACACGCTAGACTGGCTGCATACACTACAATCAGTTCCAGCAAATACACATACAAACAGAGAGTGTCATCATGTGGACATTGTTTGCCTTCAAATTTACTAGATTTGGTCACATGACAACTTCCCATGTACAGAGCAATCCTATACATTTATTTATATGTTTATTATGAGAAAAATCTCAAAATAGAAAAAAAGTACAAATGTTTGGAGTTGCATGATGATCACAAAGAGGTAGAAGCCAAGGCCAATTGTTCTGCCTGGTGGTATATACACCCATACTCCACTCACTTACCCTTTTCCTTGTTTATAAGCATGGTTTGTGTTCCTATTTAAATAGTTTGGACAAACCAGACATGGCTTTCTTATGGTGTAAATACTAAACACGACTGAATATTTCTTTTAAGAACCACACAAACATTTGTTCAGATAGACCAGACAGAAGATGGACAAATCACGCAGAGGGTTCAGTAGTCACGTTGGCCCAGCGGCTCTCTCTTTGCCTTCCATTTCTCTGGCCCAGGGTTCAAACCCAACCCAGACTGACAGGTGGATTGGGCTTTCACTCCCTCCCCCCCTGAATATTTTCCAGTGTGTTTCCCTCCTTCTATAAAACTGAACATTTCTTCAGCGTCTTCTCCCCAAGAGCCTCTAGAGATAACAGTTTATAACAGATGAAAGAGCTTTACATTTGCTTAATAAAGAATACATCAATATATGTAAATATATAAAGTCCTTTTTGCTTTGTCTAAAAATATGTTTAAAACACCACACAACTTTGACTCTGGGCAAGCAGGTTATACAAGGTGTATTAAAAACGGACACAAAGATTTCAAGATTAATTGCTCAATAACCAGTAAATATTTTCTGAGGCGGATCCGAGAGGAGGGGCATGTGGGGCAAATGGCCCCCCTTTTATTACCAAAAATATTAATTTCCAAAAAAAAAGAAGAAAAAGAGAAAGGGGGAAGAAAAAGGAGCCTAAAATTTCACCACCGTAGCGCCTAGTATACAATATAATTTCCTAGGCCCCAGACCCCACAACATCATGGCTTCATGCTTCATGCTCGGTGGGAATTTTATCCATTGCTGCTTTAGTTCATGTCCCCCCCCCTTTGGAAACTCCTGGATCCGCCCCTGTTAACCATGTGTATACTTTATTTGAAAAGCTATTTAGTCGTCTTTCATTTGATATTGGCAAAACAATGCTCATGTGTCACTTTGAATTGCCAAATTTGAAACAACTAAATCACATCGTCCCCTTTCTGTCAAGCATAATCTATGCACTTTTTGGTACCAAATGAAAGAAAACAGACTGGGTTTTCAAATGAAGTATAAACTTGCACAAAACCATTCTTCATCTTGAGTAATTCAACCTAAGATAAATGAACTAATCCTAACTCCTAAACCTCAAAATCACATATACAAGTAAAATCTGCTATGTCCCACATGTAGCACAAAGCATCATACACAAATTATCTGATAATTCACTAACAGCAAGTTTATTTGGCACTGACTCTAGGCAGTGGTATAACTTTTTAAGGGCCACATTTTCTTAATAAGGACATCCAGGATTGAATCCCTGTCCCTGATTTCAAAGGAGTGTTTTACAGAGTGTCGTCTCATGTTTACATAGCTATAGCTCTGCTCTGATGTGCTACAGTGCATACACACAGGCCATCACTGTCATTCTTGAATGTCTACACTAACTGGCTATCTTGAACCTGTTCAGTCTTAGTAGCTTCTTCATACTGGTTGATGGGGGGCGCCGTGGCAGACATTTCAACCTCTGCTGCTCCACCTGCTTCACTTGCTTTCTGCTCTGTGCCCTCAGAAACCAGCTCATAGGGGCCTTGGTTGCTAGCACTGTTCCCAGGGTTTTCACTGCTACGGCCTGTGCCAGAAGCTCTCCGTGCTGTGATGCAGCAAACCATTACAATGATGATTACACATACCAGCAGGACTATGCCCACAATCCCGACCGCTGGAAATGAAGATGCTGGAATGAGATTAGAAACAGGAGAAGGAAATTCATGCAACTGTGTACTTTAACTTTGTCATGTGACATGTGAAAAATGCGTTCAGTTACTCATGGCAACAACACACCCATAGAAGACTTCATCAATTCTCATTGCTTCAAGTAATTTGGATGATGCCCAAACTTTAGTGTCACCTCCAAAATAACGGTTGACCGATAGAAACGAAATTCTGTTGTACTCATGGACTTTCTTTGCTTTGTTGAGGTTAGCTGTCCTTTGTCAAAAGAACTTTTTGAGAATAACATATTCAACCTTAGTATACCCACAATACGAAGGCAAAGGAAAATGTGAGCGTGCCGTTTGATTCAAATCATTTTGCGGCTTTCCCATGCGTAAATTGGAAGCCAATTAAATGCATCCGAGGTCACATTAATTTGGCCCCATGATCTCATCTTGGTGACTAACAAACGTTTCCTTCCTCAACTTGAACACATTACTTACTCCCTTCATATTGGGCAGAATTGCAGACAACACTGACGTCATCATTGTGGGTGCAGTCTGGAGAGATTTCAAACGAACTGCACGCACTCAGTCTCTTTTCATCTCCTTCACACCAATTCCCACGGAATTGTAAAATTTTAGTCTCTTCAGCAGCTCTTCCTCGAAGTGGCATCACACCTAGAAAGCAAACAGCTTCACTGTCACCTCTGATAGCATTTTTGTTACCAAAGATTGGCAGCATTTATTGAGAAGCAAAGGGTGCCTTCTAAGCATAAGAGATCTGAAATCAATATTAAATCAGGAATGCAAGCAAGGAAGTGGACCTGCGGACAGCTCTTTCCCAAGATATAAAGGAGGACTCTCAACCACTGATCAGGGAGGGGCATTCTGCAGATGCTTTGCATTTCAACTTGAGTTTCCTCTTGGGTTAAAAGTCCTGTTCATTTACTACACCAAAATCATCTCCTTCCACACATTCTTTCACTTCATCCACTTGGTACTGGTTTCTCCATCATGCTTCCCATCCCTAGTTCCCATCTTCCTCTTTTCAATAGCGATTCCCTGCCTCCAAGTCCTTTCAAAGTCCCTTTTCGTTAACTTTTCCACCTTCCAGTTTATTCCCCCCAGTCCCCACATGACCACCCTAATCTGTCACCCAGCTAACCCAACCATTCCTCCTACATACCTGTTGATACAGCACCATCGTAGCCCAACTCACGACAAAGTAAGGTTGCTGTCACCATATCCAAGCCGGACTGGACACACAGAGTGGACCATATGGAACTAATGTCAGGATCATAGTAGTTCCAGTATATTTCAACACGACCAGATGCCATGCTGTCACCATCAGAAAGTCGTAAATTGACTCCATCTACAAGAGGTATAAAGAAACAATCATCTGATCATGTAACGGTGAAATAAAAAAAATTCATCGCAATTTATGCAACTTACACATAATGCTCACACACAGTAGACAAACAATGATGAGAATCTTTGATGAAAGGTTGCTGCTGTTTCTGTGAGTTTGATCTTCAATGGCATATCTGCAGGTAATATCGAGGATTAAATAACACAGAGTACAAGACGAAATGTTACTTATATGATGGAGAGTTTTCATTGTCATTTTTCATTAAAGGTGTTAACATCAATGTACCTGAGGTCCAATCTTTGTTTGGTGAGGATGAGTGGTTATCACATCGAATGGCAGCCTTGTCGTAGTATCCACATGTGGTGTAGTAACTCTCTTCAATGTGGCACTGATCAGCATTGTCGCACAGGCCCAGCACCTCAATGTTGAGAGAATCTTCTGAAATCTTACTAAACAAACAAAAAAGCAAACTCGGCTGTGAAAGGATGGTTAATTGTAAACAATTGGGATCGCTGTAACAGTGGGAATTATATACATATACATTTTTCTTTCCAAATTCCAATATATTTTCTGTATTATTTGTCACATTTATGTGAGAAACCAAGGTGTTTCCAGACCTGAAAATGGTCCAAATACGCCAATCTTGGCATCATCGGACAGCTCACATGTTCCAGGACTAAACTATGACAATGTTCAAAACTTCATGACATTTAATAAATTATTTAATAATAATCAAATGATATGTACAAGATATATCCTACTTCAAACTTAAAGGTTTAATGTACAGTATGGCACATTGGCAATGTTTTACTTATTGTATACAATGTATTACGGCAATGTATACGTATTGGAGAAACACCCCCTCGTGGAAAGAAACACATTGCAGCTTCAGTTAGAAACCCTCCCCCCTTCTAACTTCAGCCCACAAGTTGCTCCACAAAAGTTGCCTCTTGATCAATCCACACACTCAGTGCAGCAGCTCCAACAGTGAGGAGTGTACACATATGTACATGGAGTACTGGTACAGTGTTCTTCTCTCATCTTGTTAACTAGAGTTGTTTTAATTTTTTTACATCTGCCCGGTGTAAATTTACCTTTGAAATAGTTTTTCATTGGTTATTTTAAAGGTTCACTTGAAGTGGTTGATTGTCATCTGCTGGTTTGAAATTCCTTTTGCCCTATTTGTTTTGACTCCGACCTCGAAGTTTGTTGTCTGGGTTCCTATTTATCTAGTCCCCTGCTGTTCCCTTCAAAGACCCTTGGTTAGTTGTTTGTTTGGTTGTTTCATTGAGCGAGTTTCCCAATATATTGTGTCTTTTTTCCAAGTTACACTTGCTGCCAAAAAATTGCAGATGGCATGATTACACATAAATGAATTAACAAACAATACAACACATGTAACCTAGTGTTCTCTGTCGAATGCGCGATTACTATTATTTACTAAGCACAGCATGATCTCCAAATGGTTATGCACACCACCATGCACAACACAATATGTCTGTATATTGTGAGGTAGGTTGAGAGGGGTTTTTTTAGTTGGTGTTCGGATCCACTGACTATCCGGATTCAGAACTGAAAAAAAAAACGAATTTAATTTTGAGAAGTTTCGGATCCACTGACCAACAATTTAGCGATATAAGTGAAAAAAGGGGCTTTTTTAGATCTATCATAAATAATTCTCTTTTTTTTTTTACATTCTCCTCTGGAATTTGTCTTTAAAAATAAAAAACTTCGCCTAAGTGTGTGTGATGCATCGGTGGAGTGGGTAATGGACCTCGCACTGTGGCAGGAAATTTTGTAGAAACCTGCAAGTGGTACACTCTCACAATAAATTTGAACGCTGCAAATACGAGCATAGACAATAGAGATCAAGCTCTGTGAACAGACTTGCAGAAATCTTTATCCATCCATATTTCTGGTCCCCCAACTGCAGTGCAATGTGCATGTAGTATAACAATTCTGTATAGCCAGGAAGCACAGACAGGTTGCTGCCTGTCCATCGTGCCTTGCTTTGCGATTTCAGTGCAGAGCATGGCAGGAGTTGAGTTGAGCCGTGTCTAAGGCACATGCCAAACTACGGTGGCTACAACTTACCTGTACTCCTTGGAGAATCGTAGGGTGGGTAAATTCTGTCCATGTTCGTAACCCAACGATCCGCAGGCTTTTTGAATGTAAGTGTACTCCAGACCTGACCTTGGTATACAGATGTTCCACCAATTACCATTGAAGTAGGTCTGAAGCTGACCTTCATAAGGCTTAACTGATCCAACAAGACGAACAACTTGTCCTGTTTGAATACCATAAAAAATGAGTAGGTTAATGAAAATGCTGTTCTCTCTCAAAAGCAGAGAAGCGATTTGGCAAGGTGAGAGCATGGAACATGAAAAGGTTTTACTATGTCATTTTGATCCACTGAAGCCTGGAAGTCAGTGCAGACTGGGGTAGATCGCTCCGATCAATCTGATTACTCAATTCAAAGATGGCAACAGGAAAATGAAAAAGAAATTCCCCAAGTTTTTAACCTGAACATAAGAGAACCCAAAGTAATGAATGGTGACAAAATGATTTCATTTGCTTCAAACAGAGTATAAAAAAGTTTATGTTTGACACAATAAAAGGAAATCATTGTCTTTATGTCCGCAGCCCTGACACTTGGTAATAATAGAAACTTCCACTCAGGTGCTACACTATGTAGCTCTGGAGTTAAAAATGACCTGTCCCATGTCAAAACAATAGATGATTACTTGATAGCCTTGTCTGAGACTGAAAACTAACAACATTACCTGGGTCAGGGGAAGGAGATATACTACAGTTGACTCTAACCAGTCCACCATTACACTGACTCCTGTCTATGATCACATGACTACACTCCAGAAGATGCCTCTCTGAGCCAATGCACTCCACTGATCCCAAGACGCTCCAATCATCACCGGTGCCCATGTAGTCGGTTCCACTAGTCTCGATGGCATAATGAAAGCCCAGCTCCTGACAGACTACGGTGGCTGCTTGGATATCCCAGGATTCATCACTGCAGATGGACCAATCCTGATCCACGTACTGGTAAGCAAAGGCTTGGAGCTGAACAACACCTGTACTTGTTGAGTTGTCAAGTACAAACTGATGCAACCTCAGAGAGTATGGCTGTTGAGCGTCCCCAATTAAAACTATGAATAAGAATTGGCATAATGATAACAGTGAAGTTCTCGTAACGACAATAATGGCAAAAATGAAACACTCAATCTGTCAATAAAATAAAATTAGTGTTTCAACTAATCAAATATTACAACATTATTTACTTCAAATAACATCTGAATAAATCACTAATTTTTGTAAACGCAGTAAAACCATGACAGAGATCTCAAGTTCCAACACCACACTTAAACAGATGATCCTGTGTGTCTTACAGTTTGCGTGAATCTTTTGACAACTTAAGATTTTTGAGAGTAGTATAACCATTTCTTATGGGTTCAGATATTTTCTCCGCTCTCAAAACAATTAATAGCATTTTTGCATTTATTGGTAATGCCTAGAGTTTCCAGCAGTGCAATGTCTTTGCCGAGTGTGAAGAGCCGCAACTGTGCCTATTTATGTAGTCATGCCAGTACAGCGGTATATCCAGTGGGGTATGCGCC